TTTGTTTCACTGACGTCGTCTTCGGCTCGTTGGTGACGTGAGTTTAGACTCGGGTTACGTCACAGCTGATGACGAGCGCGTCTGTGCTCGCTCTGCTCAGGTGAGCCACACAGACAGGTGTCAGGCTCCTCCCCCTCGTATGTCCCCCGTCTCTCTATCCCTGTCGCGCATGTCTGTGATCGCTTCCTGTTGGAAGTTTCTAGAAATACACTAAGAGTGTAAGTGGAGCCTTTGACGCCATGTTTGTTCACATTCACGCTCTCTCCTCTTTAACAGGAAGCTCCACAGACTCGACTCCTGGCGGCGCTCCGTCCTCGTGGCCTCGAGCCGCTGTGGTTCTGCTCGTGTTATAATAACAGTAACGATAATAATAAAAGTTTCACAGAAACAAGCAGCGCGGTTATTCTCGGCGCAGCGTTTCGCTCTGGCTGCAAGCGCAGGCCGTGAGAATCACGCCGACGCTTAAACTTCATTTTCCAGCTTTTATTAATAATAATTAATTAGTGCTTGTAGTGATCAGAGAGGTGGAGTGGAGGACGGGTGGAGGCTTAGAAACAACAGAGGAAAAGATGGATGTGCACCAACCAGAGCCTGCATAAGGATTTTAACCGTGTGATGTTTTATTACGTCACACGGTTAAAATCCTCCAATGGGAGCTGTTTGATGACCTCATCAGCCTCTAACGCTGTGCGGCTCACACCGATCACGTGATCGATCCCTCGGAGAGCTCGTTTACGGCTCTGCAGCAAGGCGGGAGAAGTTATTTTATTCTGCGCATCAACATTTTACAGCTGCGCTTATTTTACTTTGAAATTCTATTTTTAAATTCTACTGTTACCATGAAGTTTTGTCATGTTTTGTTCTGTTGCTGTCGTCTTATTGTGGAGTTTTTAGAGGCTCACAAACTAAAATCTGATTTTATTTTTGAAGTTTTTCACATCAGTTCTGTCAATAAAACACTTTGATTTGTTTTAAAAAGGTCGTTTAAAAAAAGGTTGATTGACGTGTGCAGTGGATGAAAATCTTATGGAACAGCTTATTTCCTTTTTCCTGTTTTAGAAATCGTGTCGCAAAGCTGCTGTGAAATGTTTCAGAGTGACGGCGTCGTCTCTGTGAGCGGTGACGTCACACCAGATGATGGGTAAAATAAAGCACAGGCGTGAGCGGACCGCTTCTTCTGCAGAGATGCTGATGGATGTGAGGATTCCTGCTTGTGCTAAGCTAACAAACGCAGTTGTGGTTGTGGCGTGACGCGCGTGTAGCGACCTGTTACCTGGTAAACTGGGTGGGCGTGTTTGGGGAAAAGAAAGACTTCACTCCGAGATAACCGGGGCTTAAATTTGACCATAATGTTGTGTAAAATAGTGCCGATTGCAGCTCCTGCACATCTGTTCTGCAGCTGATTGCAAAGCTCAGTCATCTAATTACAGCACGCAGATAATTCTTTGCTAACAGGCTGGGTGGGACGATCTGTACGTCAGGAAGGAAGAATCAAACTCAGAGGGGGGGAAGCATCGGTGCTCAGCTCGTTGGTCTGACTCAAACTCTCTCTGCTCCTCTCAGTCCTCGTTTATAAAGAGCTCCCAGCATCACAGCTAACAGCTGGATCCTCCTGTTTAGTTTACTTGTTTTCCATAAAGTTGCTGTTTCTGTCTCCAGTTAGCTGACATAAACTGATGCAGCACTGCTCACAGCAACTAGCCAACCAGCAGTGACGTCACACTCTGTGCTCAGACAAGATGGCGCCGCACGCGCTCTAAAAACTTTAAACGTTATTTTTTTAATTGCGTTTCACAGACGGTTTTAAACCTGTGAAAGTTTTTTTTAATGTAGGCGTCCATGTTATAAGTTATATTTAGTGCATGTCGTGTTTCATGTTCTCTTCAAAGCTGCGCTCTGCTCAGAGTTAGCATTTTATGCCTACTGTGACCTTTGACCTTTAGTACACATGTAAAGATACAGACTTTAATAGTGAGCAGAACTATGAAGAAGTGACATGTGTTTAAAAAAACCAGGTAAATATTGGGACTTTCCTCTGGAGATGTTCAGCTGATCTCTGTAAGTAATCGGATTACTGCAGGTTACTTCAGCGTTGCTGCAGGCAATAACTTTTTTCTTTTTGAGTGCACAGTGTGAAATATCGCTGAACATTTTGGTTACACTGAATTACAAATCTCTTTCCCACTTCCAACCCACAATAAACGAACAGTTAGATCCTTTTAACATCATTAGGATGTGAGCTTTTCTCTCATGTTCAGAGACATTTTTAATATTTTTATGCACATGGGCTTTACTGATCTCAGGTTTTTAGCTCTGTTATGCTGAAATCTGACAGTTATAAAATGTTTTTGTAGTTATGAAAGAAAAAAATATGTAAACTCAATGACACCATTGGTAACACTGCAAAAGTATTACCCTCACATGAACTTGCATTAAAATAATTTATAAAGAGGTCACGGAGAGTGAGTGGCTCATTGAGACATCTCTACTTTCAGAGTCATCAATGATAAAAACTTTCAGAGAGAGCTCAGGTCCTGAAGAAACGTGAACCCTTTGGATGGCGATGCAATATTTCCATCATCACCCTGATTTTAACAGAATCACATTTTTTTCAGCTTGTTAGATGCTCCTTTTTCCATTTTTATATTAAATTTAACATCTGTATACATTTTATTGAATCTGGAAATATTTTGGGGGTCAAATGTTGTCAAAACTGTGACATCCCAGTGCATTTAACATCTCAGCCAGATGATAAATTATGTGTTAGGTCAAATTAACGTGTTTCAGAAAATACTGAAGCAGAATATTGAAGTTAATTTGACGCATTTCAAATTAAGATCAATTTAACGTTAACTTCTAAATAAAAGTCTCAGAGCTATTTGCAGGATGTGACTGACAGTTTATCGGACCAATAGGAGAGCAGCACAGAGAAACCCTGCCCCCACCTGTCAGCCACAGTTTATCTACACTGTTGTAAGTGGAGCGACTTCCTGTGAGCTGCAGGAACAAACACACTAAGATGGAGTCCTGAGCAGCAGACACAGATCCTACTGATTTATGTCATTATTAAATATATTAAACAAACACTTTTGATAATCAGTTAATTGTTAACTATTTAATTTCTCCTCAGGATCCTAAAACCACTAGTTTGTCCAGTGATTTTTGTACTTCATGACACCTCCTGGGTTTCGATTTTCAGCAGGTCACATGGTTGAAAGTGAAGAAAGGGTTTCAATTAGTTAATAAAGAAATAGATTCACCCTATTCATAGCAGCATGAAGGTTGGGTGAGTAGGGAGTATTTTTAGTTGACTGCTTTTCTTAACATGCATATTATTTGCACTGCTTCCTCTGGACTGTTTTGGAGTTGCTTGCTTATGCTCGGGGTAAATGTGTTTTTAAAATGTGTTAATTAAGTATTCAAACAGCTACAAAACTTTTTTTTTTCATCTGTAGCTGTTTATTTATAGTATTTAGAGTTTCTGCCCATGTACCGACAGTACTGAAATTTTAACATTAGAAAAACATGACAAAATGTATGATTAAATTAAGAGAAACTATCAGCATGAATAGAACATTTTTTAGTTTTCAATGTTGTTCATTACTCACCTCCAGTCTGGTTGAAGCGCAGCTTGGCAGTTTCAATGTTAGCTTTAAAAGCCTGCTCAGTACCAGTTAATCTCTGTGCCCCTGCCTCCCAGTAATCAGGTCCTTCATTCTTTGCCATCCAGTCCTGCTTGGGAACCTTTTTTTTAGTTATGCTGTCATAGTATGAGATTGGCTGCCCATCCACGATGCCCACATCCACAAACTCTGGAAAGCCTGGAATTCCTGTTGATGCAGTGTAGAAGTACTGCAGTGAATGTGTAACTGTTGGACAAAAAAAGAGACATCATCACTCTTTTGAATAACACAATACAAAAATGTTAAAAACAAATGAGACAAAATGAAATTATAATAATTTAAAATTTTTTGAGAACTTCTGTAGTCATGAATAAAAACTACTTTCGGCTGCTCCCTTGCCACAAGAGGTCGCCCTGGGGGTAGCGCCGCATGTTTGATATGACCAAGTTTTATGCCGGATGCCCTTCCTGGCGCAACCCGAAAGGGGAATTTGTCTCCCGTTCTCATCCAACTAAAGCCCTTTGGCTTGACAAGCGTATGTATTAAACAGTAATACAGAACTAAACACTTCCTAAACTTAATGTCATTTGTTCTATTACAGCTTATCAAAACTTTTTATATTTCGAATAAGAAAACTGTTAAATTATGTGATCTCAAAACAATGAATCTGAAAAAAAAATGTTTTAACAAAACATTCCAAAAGCTTATTAAAAATAATAACACGTATTAGTACTTTAGTTTGTACTCATTTTAAAACTGACTTTATTTACACACTTTGATACAAAACTATGATATTTGCAAGGATATGTGAAATAAAATGTCTGTATATAGCCTATATAATCACACAAACATCTATCTCTTTTGAAATGTGGGCTCATATTTCTGTTAGTACGTCTGTTAATTCCGAAGGTTATATTCCGAAGCAAAAATCCCAATGTTCCTGGGCATTATCGAGTTTTTATGTTTTTAAATATTATTATTTTTATTTTATTAGAGTTTGTGTTTTTTTTTTCTTTTGGTTTTGGTTTGGTTTTGTTGGAAATAAAAGACAAACAGTGGTGCTGCCTTGAATTGGCTTTCAGTACACATATGACCGTCAATCTGTTTGTCTGAACATAATTAGAATTTGATGCATTTACCTGAAATTAAGCATTATCATTATATACATATACCTTAAAATTACGTTGGCTTAATTGTAATATATTTGGATATCTAAGCTATTTATATATCATGTTTACGGTCCCGAAATTCTATACATAATAAAATATATTGTTTATCAGTAAACACCTAAGATATAACAATGTTGTTTTTCTGTATATATAACTAAAGAAAATAATCACTTGTGCCTACTCACCAGCTGCTGCGCTGTATAGTCCAAGGAATAAAACACTCAGAGCAAGAAAAGCCTTCATTTTCCTATGTTTATTCTAAAGTTGTAGAATGAGAGCTGCTGCTTCCACCACAACCACTGTCGAACTGAGAGTAACGGCTCAAGAACGTCTATCATCATCTCCCACTGAGCCAATAAGAATTTAGGCAGCGCGAGGCGTCACTTAAATCCAGGTGGAATTTAGCCACAAACGTTATTATCGAAAGTGAAAGCACACTTTTCTTGTCTGAGCTTATGTGGAAGAAGTGCGGGACAACAATGGCCTTATAATGGCTAAAGGTTGTTAAAGATGTAGATTCGTGTTAGTGACGCCTTGTAAAATAATGGGTCATGTAGGGTAGCCTGATTATTTTCTGAGCGGTGGATGGTGGATAATCGACTGTCTGTTTATATTTTTCTACTGTATCATAGTCTTATTTTTGTTTATATAATATAGGAGACAATTATGACGATTAGGTTTATCTCTAAGTATGATGTCAATAGGACAGTGCCTAAATTTGGGAAAGTTCGCCCCCCAATGCTTCACAGGTCCAGTGCAGCATATCAGCGTGGAGGCTATGACGACAGCAATTTATATAAAATACTTTTTATACTAACAGTGAGATAATCAAACAACAGCTCACTCAAAACTGGAGAAATCCACTGTTGATCTTTCAACCCCTGAGGTTGCTAGCTGAGTTACTTTGTAAGAGAGGAAGAATGCACAGTACCTGAAGGGACAACTATGTTTCTTTTTTTTTGTCTTCCCTATTGTTTTTCTGTATTATTGCAGGACTGTGTGTATTCACTTTATTGTTTAAAACTTTAGAATTTGAGTTCTCCAAGTTTTAAATGTAACTTAAACTATTTTTCTCACTTCATTGATCAAATTTTACTGGGTCTTCCCATCACACAGTTTTATTAACAAAACAAGAACAACTAAGAAGAAATGCAAACAAAACAAGGTTGAATATGTATAATCATAAGTTTCCATTTAAAGCTAATATCAAATACCACACGAACAATCTAACCATATACTCTGCCTCCAAAGCATTATAGGAGTGAAACAAGAATAGTAAGTGCTGTAAACTAGAAGACAACATGTCAACTACAACAACCATTAACTGATAAGATAAGATAGATAACTCTTTATTGTCATTGCACAGTCATACATAGTACAGTAGTACAATGAAATTGGAAAACTGTCCTACGTCGGCACTACATACAACACAACACGACACGATATGACACATCACAACGCAACACAAACAACACAACACAGTATATTAACTTAGTAATAAAAAAAGAAGAAGTGTATGTGTATTGCACACTGTTATTAACTGATGAAACACCTTAAGAGCATCTTATGTCATCCCTCTTCAAGCCAATATGAGTTTAGGCAAAGCATTATGTAGATCTAGGTGTAATTTATCTACAAAGCTTGTTTGCAAAAATCAAAGGACACTTTTCTGTTTTAGCCAACTTGAGCATTTGAAATTGTTTGGCCTTGTTGGGTATACCCTGATTTTTCTCTCAGAGGGATCCTACACACACACAGTGCATCCCTTAGCGTTAAAGGGAGGGAGAGAGAAAGACAGAGTTCTGATCAAAATATGTAAAGCAAACAAACAAACAAACAAACCTGAATTCAGTGAGGACAATGTCTGGCTTTGGGCGCCCCCTAGTGTCTCAAACCTGCACCTTTTCTTTAAGATGATAAATTCAATCAATACATTTATGTATTGTGTATTTTTTATTAACATTAAAATGTTTTTGATTTAAAGAATAATTGATTAATAGCTGAAGTAGCTTATCAGTTCAATGTAAAGTTTTGCTCACTGAAATCACAGACTGAAACTGCAGAAATAGTAGACTAAGATTCACATTAACACCAACACCAGTGGTAAATTATGCGTCAGTTACTGAGAGCTTTTTAAATCTTTATTTTAATGTTGCTAAAAGCAATTTGGTTTGAATTTAAAACAAAGATCAAAATGACTTAATTAAAGCAGAGAAAGAAGACATAGTTTTGCTTAAACTGTTGAACGATATAAATTTTGTGCATTGTTAATATTTAGAACTTTGATTTCACTTTTTTGTGGCTGATCACAACAACAGTCTTCTCAAGGTGATTCATAGTGCATGGTAATGAACCTAATAGACAGAACAACAACAGCAGACACCAAGTGTTGTACACTGGAAGGGGAAAAGACGCTGCAGAAGAAAGTCAGAGATTAATAACTCAAAGATAAATGCAGAATGTTTTTTTCTATGGTCTGGTTATTTCTCTGATATGAAATGTGTAGAAGCCACTATGGTTCATTCTGTAAGAATAGAATAGAGAAGACTTTTATTGTCATCATACATATACTGTACAACAAAATTGTAGGTGTTCCACACCAGCTATGAGAACAGGTTGCAAAGTGCCTGGAACTAGTATAAAATACTTCTGAATAGAGTCCATGTATGAGTGGCCTGAGAGATGAAAATGCTCGCGCATGTCTCATTAATCATGCACAAAATCCAAATTTTTTTTTTATCTAACCAGAATACTGATCCATGTCTGTGTTATTTTCTTTAGGGCTGGCATGGTTTTCAGTATTAAAGCGGTGGGGCCCAAATCATTTTTGTTTCCCACAGGGACCCAAATCCCTGTGTACTCATACTTTTGTCATTTCATTGCTTTGTGGCACACATCATATCGTTGTATTCTTATCTTGTATTTTATTTGTGCGCCAGTATTTCTAGGTACTCTTTGAGCTTGATGTTATAATAAAAAACTTAATGAAATGTAATGAAAAAGACAAAGACATAAAACCAAACACAGAGTCAAAACATGTACTTAAACACAAACAGCAGCTCTTTCCTGCAGGTTTAATGCTGATGTGTTAGAAATGCTGGAGAGCTGAGCAGGCTGAAAACTCCTTGACTGAAAAGATAAACCACTGTTGATATTTGACATCTGATTATGTTTTATTCTTAATTTGCTTTTTCTTTGGTACAGTCTATAAGTTCTCATTTATCAGCTCCGAATCATTTTATAATTTTTGTACAGTTTAATTAAAAATTAATGTGAATGTTAACTGTCTTGATGCATGCTCAATCGTCCAGATAAGCAAATCCCAAAATGTTGATTCTGTTCATCTGGACGTAGCGTTTTAGTGGGAGAAACGTTTCGTCACTCATCCAAGTGAATTCTTCAGTCTCAGCTGACTGCAGGTTTCCCCAGTCTTATAAACAGTACATTTGCACAATAACTGAAACCAGCCCACTGAATGAACAATGGGCTGGGAGGTCAATTCCTTGACCGTTAATATCCAAATTGTATTGACTATTGATCAACAACCACTGATCAAAGACCATTCATCTTGAAGAAGATCTGAAGAGGTCACTTTGATGAGTGACGAAACGTTTCTCCCGCTGAAAATGCTACATCCACTTGAACAGAATCAACTTTTTGGGTTTTCTAGAACTACAGTTAACATGCAACTCAATCAAAACCTTTATTCATTTTGAAAAGTTAAATGTCTGTGAAGAATCACGATAAAATAGTTCCTTTAATACTGTGTGAAACAGTGTGGTCACAATATTTAGACATTTTGTGAGATATATTAACAGGAAATAACCTTAAATTATACACAGTACAGGACAGTGTAGTCTTAAAAGTGCCAACATGAAGTACAAACATGAAGTTGGTACTGCCCCTTTGTCCAGTATATATATGTGTGTACTCTATCTATCTGTAAAAAAAAAAAGAAAAGAAAAAAAGCTGTAAAATAAAAAGCTGACTGCTGGGGATGTCCCAGGTCCAGACTCTCTTAAGCTTTAGTAGCATGTAAAAGGGCTGATCTACTGCAGGGAGAGCAGGGATCCAGGA